TATCGCAACCAACTGACACCTGAAACTCGCACTTGCGGAAAATCTATAATTATTATGAAAATTGGCCTTATTGTGTGACGCATTCCTAACGATTGTTTGTTACGTTCAAATTTTGCCTTATAATACGTAGGTAACTGAGATTTCGAATGAATTCGGTAATTAATTCAGGTATTTGTCAGGGTATTCATAAAGCTATATGTATACCTGAGGATTAATATTTTTCAGTAATTGATAGGTTGCTCATGGAATTTTACTAGATTTCTACCTTTTTATTTGGATGCGAATCAATATCTAGTTGTTGTAATAAAGGTATTCTTTTCTAGGTAATAATGAGTAAATTCTTTGTATTCAGATGACAGGGTAGTTTTAGGATAATAAAGCCCTACTGTTAGGATAGGAATCCACTTTATTTAGCTTTCGAAAGTCTTCCAAAAGGTCCTAAATGTCGATGAAAAGGTTTGTTTACTTTCAAATAAATATCAATTGTCAACATTTACGAGTCACGTAATTTCCATTATTAAAAATTCTGCAACAACACAAATCACTTTAGCACACTTTAAATCGCTTATCTACCCCTATAGGGCATGTTCATGTGACGTCACAAATGAGTTTGACAATCGCCCTGAGGTAAAACAAATCATTTATTTACATTGGTGTAGATTAGGCCAGTTATGTTTTATGCGGTTTTCACAGCTTTTTTGTAAGTTTTTGTGTTATTTTGTTCTAAAAAAGTTAAAAGTAAAGTGTTTATGTTCAAGTCTATGTGGTCTTTTATCCAGAAGTTTGCTAGGTTTTTCTAGAATAGATTAAATTCAGGGGTTTTCCAACAAATATCAAAACCAAGTGCCAAAAGAACAAATATATAAGTATAGTTACTCTATAATTCAATTAATTTTTCTGTCAGATCTTTTCTTTCAACAACATTATTCAATTTTTCTCTTTTTTCTTGAGCTAACAAATCAAACCTCCCATTGTTATTTGAAATTGATGAAAACCTATGGAAGGATATTGTATCCCTTGCGCTATACTGCCAGAATTAACAACTAAACAAATTCTAGGCATGTCCAAGAAACTTCTAGACCACACAAAAGGTATTTAATTAAATAAATCTAACTAAAAACCTAAAAAACCACTGTAAATATATCTTTGTTTTACCTCAAGGCGACTGTCAATAGTGTCAAACTGTCAGATCGTGTACTTGCCCTATTTCCTCTATTTTTCACATTTTTCAAATGTTTATTTGCCACAGAATAAGTGTGGTTAAGTGACATTTGTTGTTTCGTTTCAGGCAGCGTTGTTGTCGAGATTCCTTGACCACTGTAATTAATAGAGTGACTGTAGTTGTGATCCCTAAAGAGTCAGTGGTCATTTTGATAGTTTTTAGACTGAAGACTGGGTAGATGTTGATTAATAATTTCTATAAGTAATTAATTAGTGTTAATTGGTATTGAGGGAAAAAATTTGATAACAATTTTGAGTTTTGTTGGTCATCAATGTGATTTGGGTTGTTCCGTTTCAAGCTGTTTGTTCCGTTTTCCTGGTCAAGACCGGAAATCTGGCACCAGAGGACATCTTAAAAAAAAACTGGTATTCTAGAAAATTTTTCATATTGAAGCTCACCTAATCAATCGCTGAAAAGGAATCGTTCTCTTTTAAATTCGCACGTTAAGCAAGCAACAAGTTTCTTTGGCAGATTTTACCAGCGGTCCTCTTAGCTACGTTCCTTGAAACATCCACCTTTTGGTGGGATTTTGAAGGCGCTGAGATTTCAAGTGATTACTGGCTTAATTGGTTTGTGGGTGAAAGCTTTGAATTTGGTCGTAAGTCCCCGTGTTTGTAAGCCAACCACACAGAATTTTCTGGAAACGAAGTCTACGCCATTTTGTTGGTTTTTCGTGTGAGGATCGAGCACGTTTTGTTTAACTAACCCAAACTGTAACCAGGTAAATTTAAACGTTTTTGTCTATCTGAAATTTACCTTTTCGTTATCAATATTTAGATTAGCTTATCTGTATTTTTGTAAATATTTGGTATTCAATAAAAAAGGGAATTTGACCTCCACGAGGCCATTTGTCAGTAAAAAAAAAAACTCATTAATCGTTTGCAAAAGGGACCTTATTAATTAAGGGGTTTTTGTTTAAGATACTCTACAGGTTTCAGGGGATTTTGCTATTTTAATTTCAATAATTTATGTACCATTTGGGATTGGGATTTCTCATTTTATAAGTATGAAGGAGTTCTAAGAATTTGTGCTCTTTCAGGGTTTTTAGGTTCCGATTAAATTCAATATTGGTGTCAAATAATAGCTTATGAAAATCTAAGAAAAAAATGTAAGATCGGCTTTGCTCAAACGTTAACCGTTCAGGTTTTTCAGCCTGTCAAGTTTGCAAAAAAGTCAATTTTCAACTGTCAATATTTCCAAAACAGTTGAACTTAGGTTTAGGGTATATCAAATAAAATCTGTTCAGAATTCTATGAAGAATTCGAATATTCAATAATATACAGGGTATTCTATTTAAAATAAGAAAGTTGGAGTACGATTAGCTTTTCTGAAACACTTTGTATATGCGAAAGTGAGTTTTTCTAAAAATTTGATTTCAACCATAAAACTTTTATTTGGGACACTTTTCTAAAATGTCAAATAAAAAAGATAGAGGGGGGTGACATTTATAACCAATAACCCTATACCATTGGGTTTTTCCTCTTTGACGGTTTACTAATCTCGAAGTTGAGGTGTCAAGATTACTCACAACTCTGGATTGAAACTGAAATTCACATTTTTAAGAAGGGAGTCAATAGAAGTTGATGGGTCTGTTATCAGGGCTGAGAGGCTGTCAGGAGGCAGTTATGTAAATGGGTGTTTAAACTGCAGAGATGACCACAAGGGGGTGATGTAACCGTTAACTCATTATTAAAGTTTCTTGAATTATTTTCTCAATTATTATTAATAGTATTCCTTATATTTTACTTGGTATATTTCCAAGGTTGTTTTACTGCCTTAATTATTACAATGGGTGTACAGTACCAATGATTTTTAATGTACTATATTTGAGGTGACATTTTGTACAAACCCGCCCTGGTATACCATGGTATAAGCGTGCACAAGTTTTAATTAATATTATTAACATCTTGATTAATCTTTTTATCCCTTAATTGTTCTCTTGCACTCTCATTGGAGTAAGGTGGTCAAACATTTTATTGGTAAAGCTTAAATTTATTGCAGTGTCTTATTTGAGGCCACATTGGTCCTTACTACATTTTGGTAATTCTGACATTTACTTTTTATAATAATATATACGGTGGTATTTTACATATTGGCCTTTGCAATTCTAAACATACCCCCCCCCCCCCCCCCCCCATTTTACTAAATAAATTTATAATCATTGTTTTTAGATTCGACTCTTATTTTACCCTTACTGACCTCAACAAAACGAAGGTAAAGTTATTTTAAAGGATAGGTACATCGGGTAGGTCCATTTTTTTTATAGGAATTTTGGAGATCAGGGACTTTCTGGTTTAAGTCTGCAGTCTGCGGATTGTATTTTGTAAACCAGTGGCGCCCTATTAAGCTAGCTTTAAATATTGAACCTACTCCTACACCACTGAGTAACCGCGAGCACTTTGTTGCGCTGGCCGCATTCCTTAAAAGGGTGTCTTACTGCACCTAGGCCTATTATGGTTTATTAATTTAAATTTAGTATTCAAACAGTTTAAGGGTTAATTTTTACGCAACATGTTTACACGATAATTCATTTCTCAGTGAACCAAGACAATTTGAAAACATTGATAAAGTAGTCAGAATGCCGTGGTTATCTTCATCAAAAATTATTTTTGCTAGCTTAAAATGTCCCTATTGAATTTCAAATATAATCTGCGCTGTTTCTCACTTTCTCAGCTTCATTGTTTCTTTTTTACATTTCAAAACAATATTTCATCCGAATTCAATACAAATGGCCACACGATAAGTCGAACGATTCCCTTCAATAATGAAAAAAAAAGCACTATAAAACCGTACATTCGTATATGGACGTGTCGAAAGTTAAATGTCCAGATAGCGATTCGCTTGCTTTTGAAAATGGACCACGACCAGAACATGCTTCCGAGATAAATGCTCTCGGCGCACCATCGTTATGAAAAGTATTTTAACGAATTGTCGCTTCGAAACAATTTTACGGCGTAGTTATATAAATTTATTTTTCTTTTATTCTCGTAGCTCTACGTTTTGCTCCAGGCTAATAAATATATTCCTGGAAAACTTTATACAATTTAGTCATTAGGTTAATTAGCGTGAAAAGGTTACCTACATAATTATTATTGCGAGAAACTGGAAATGTGCAATAAAATAATAATTTTTTTAATTATTTGTTTCTATATTAATTAGGTTTTGGATAAATTCTATTGTATTATTTTTCAAAATTTACATTTTCCAGAAAAGTAAGCATAGGTACGATATCTGTACTTTCAATTTATAAAAAAAGTCACTAAAATTTTTGTTGTCACTGATATCATGGGCCAGAAACACATTATGTCTGTTTGTTCCAAAAACATATTGTAGTATCAACATTATGTTGAGGGGTTTCAATAAACCCTAAAACGATTTCTTTCACACAGAAAAAAAAAATAGGTAAAAAGGTGTTCGAAAAGTACTGTAAAGCTCAAGAAACATTCAGGCTGTACCTACCATATACAAATTTGCGTGAACATGAGGGTCCTCATTCCAACTTTCAAACCATAGCCCTATTTTTGGTAATTTACGCAGCAAACTATAGCGTAGTATGTACGTTATTAACACATTCCCAAACCACCGAAAAGCAGGATTAAATTTTAGTACTAATTTATGTGTAGGAAACGCTCGCTCTATATAAATTGCATAACACCGAGCAATTTAAAGCTGAGCTGCGTCTCTAGCGGCGTCGCTAATTGTTTTGTTGGAAATGGTTGTCTTTCCGAAACAGTTACATCAACTGAAAGTGCATAATAGCTTAATACTTTTGTTTCAGATAAACGGTAACGAAAAAGAAAAATGTAAGCTGACGGGGACTGAAAAACGGAAAGCTGACGATGGAGAGCCTAATAAGGATCTAAAAAAGGTAAGAAAACTTTACTTATTATCATTATGTTACTTGTATCAAATAAAAATTAGTTGCTGAAAACTTTTAGAGCTTAAAAATAACTTCTCGTTTGGTCCCTTCTTGGACACGGAAACTTTCGAGGCTTAAATAAAAGTCGGTTCTAGTTGTATTCTTATCGGATTTAAAGCTTTCCACCTCCTCCATCTGGTCGCGAGGTAGTTAAAATAAACTTTGTTAAGTCAATAGATAAAAGAACTAGTGCGGATCTTGCACGAGATAAATTGCACTTGACTTAATTAGTTAGGAGATTAGGATAAAGTTTTGCGTTAAAAGAAAACTCAATTAATTAATACTTGACTCAATTTTTAAGTACCTACTTTGGTCTGTTTTCATAAGACTTATGCGAAGAATATTAAAATTATGTTTTAAGGGAAAATTGTATATAGCCATAAACAAAAATCTAATATAAAGGGAGAGTTTTTGTATAAAGACGACAGACGACCTTTACACAAAATCCTATCCGTCTTAAGGCACAGCAACAGCAGCGCCAGCTGGTTAACGATAAGAAACGAAACAAAGCTCTGTCTCCGACAAAAGAAAATTAATTAGAAAGTTTTTTAGGGAGTTTGCGTTTTGGCTCCGATTTTGTGCAGTGTGATTTTTGTGCTGAAACTTTTGCCAACAAGTAACTTTGGTTTTTGTTCAGTTTGTTGCAGCTGATTGGAATTTGGTATTTTGGTAAATTCTACTTTAATAAAGACACAGTCATAACGTCGTTTTATAAATTAATATATGGAGTATTTTTTTGTTGATGATAATCCCCAAATACAAGTAGACTTGTCTATGCACAGTTCACTTAACTCAAACGATGACCAAATATGCGGAATAGATTTAGAAAAGCATTTGATAGGGTGCCAAGAGAAATTTTGTGGAAAGTATTGCGCTAGTAACAGAAAGTGGATTAAGTTCAGAACTCGGAGCATTTTATTATGTAACTTATTAAAAAGATTTAAATATCCAAATGCGGGTCACAGCGAATATAACAAGTACATTACAAATATTTATGAATAGAAATATTAAAAAATCAATAGCAACAATAAATAACACAAATCTATCTTGGAGGGTTGTTTTTATATTGTCAATTTGTTTTGAAAATGTTTTCAACGTGGCTTGACGTTTTAAAACATGTTTCAATCTGTTAACACACTCTTTTTAAACCGGCAATATTAACGTACTCTCAGGTATGTCTGGTTCTGTTTCCTAGAGCTGAGGATGCTGTAACAGGCAGAACAATCAAACTTATTATCAATTTATTGATTTGATAGATAGTGATTCTTGTAAAAAAAACAAGGGTAATTGAATAAAATAAAAATGGTTCAATCCTTTTCGCTTACATCTACTTCTTGTGCACAACATTACTTCACGTCAAATTGTATTAAACTCGAGTAGGTATTATTTTCAGCTGTAGAACGATTATGTACCTTGTTAAATTTCAAATTAGATCTGCTTAATTTGAAACTGAAATCCAGGGAAATCCTACTAAAAAAAGTTACATTTAATTTTTATCAGATATATCTGGAAAGAAAAATCGACCCTATGGGCATATTTGTTTTGTTGTAATTCCGATCCAGGACGGTCCTAATGGTCCACATTATACAGATCACGTCCGCTTCTAATCTTCTTAAAAGACGTAAGGCGTAGTAGATAGGCTACCTCGAATGCATATAGATTGTGTCGGAACCTTTTAAATTAATTTTTAAGTTGAACTTTATTTTTTGTGAGGATTTTTCTTCTTTGTTTTCAAGGGCACCTGACCATAATAGGTTGATTTAAATTGAAACCGATGTCGACAATTCTATAAGAATGCCGAAGTTATATTGAGCCTATGATATGTCATAGTCTTATTAATGAATTGAAATTAAGAGAAGTTTCATCGAAGGAACGTACAAGTACTTAGTTTTTAACCAAAAATGTATGTTTTACTTTCGTGGGTTACAGGACAGGACCAATTATGATTCCTATTTTGTTGGAGAGAGGATGGTTTGATAAGTAATTTAAAATCCTACCAGAACTAGTGGGTTTTGAATACCAATTTGTGATAAGGGTACCATTAGGCTTGCGATGAATCTCCATATCCAGGAAACAGATTTTCTATCTCCATCGTGAATTGGAGTGATTGGTGGAAGCTGTTGAAGGTGTCTAGTAGTACATTCAGTTGGTCTTGAGAAGCTGACAATACTGTATCATCAACATAGACAAATATGAATCGGACATGGAACTGTAGACTTTTTAAAACTTTAGTGATGAGATGTCTCATGACTAGATTAGCTAAAATTGGTGACGCAGGATTCCTCATAGCTGACCCATCTTTTTGTAAGCAAATATCACCATTATAGGCAAAGTAACTTATGTCAAAGTAGTATAGGTTGTATAGGTTGTACATATTTCAGACTTAAAACAGAGTTTCATAGCGTTATCAAAATCTTAAAACTAGGTTACAATCAATTACAATTACAATTAATAATAGTATATTATATACCTAGGTAGAGGAGTTGGTCATTATATACCGAAAGCTTGAGGTATATAATTACTTTCTCTACCGAGGAATATATAGAATTTTTTTTACTACTGCTAGTAGAAAATAAAAAATTTGTTTAAAATCTGTTACTATGAAAATATAGTAGAGACTCTAGGATATATTGTGCTGGAAGAGTTAATATTTTTAGGTCCCTAAAGGATGGTTTGACATCATCTCGGTATTTGATGCCAGCTACAATTCTAACTGCTCTTCTCTGCAGACCAAAGATGCGAGGGGTATAACATGAGTGTCCCCATACTAGGAGTCCATAGACGCTCACTGAATGAAATAGACCATAATATGCCATTTTTGATGTTTCTTTATCTACAATTTTCGATGTATTACGAAGAACATAGATTGCGGAGAAAAGTTTTTTTGAAATAATGTTGACATGCTGCTCGAAAGTCAGCTTCGCATCCAATGTAACTCCTAAAAATTTGATTTTTTCTGGGTTGTCTTGAATTGTAGTTTTCTTGAGAGGGAAGATTATGTTTTCTGTTTTACTTTGGTTGACATTCAGAATATTGGAGTTGAACCAGTCAACAGCAGTTTCGACATGTCTCGTCATCTCCATTTTGGCAATGTCCAGTGTTTTGGCTTTTATGGAGAGTCCATTATCGTCCGCGTAGATAATAACCTGGCATCCGGACAGGGCAGCTGCAAGGTCCTTTATGTATATAAGGAACAACAATGGGCCCAGTACCGATCCCTGAACCACACCGTGTCTCATGACTCTCTCCTCTGAGCGCCTACCCTCCAACTCCGTGATCTGCCTTCGTCCCGAGAGGTACCCAAATATCAAATTCACGCTGAATCCACAGAGCCTGTAGTATCTTAATTTTTCTATAAGGATATCATGTGATACACAGTCGAAGGCTTTGGAGAGGTCACAGAAGGTGGTGGACACAGTCTGCCCCTCCTCAAAGCCCCCAATTATGAAATCACAGAGCTTTAGTATTGCCCCAGTGGTGGTTCTGACCCTTCTAAACCCAAACTGCTCTTCTATGAATAAGTTGTTTCCCTCAAAGTACATGTAAAGTTGTTCCTTCAAGAGAACCTCAAGGATCTTGGAGAAGACGGGGATCAAAGAAATTGGTCTGTAATTTGATGGCGATGTTTTATCTCCACTTTTGAAGATTGGAACAGTTTCACTAATTTACTTTACTAATTTACTAGTAATTTACTAGGTCAATTTAGTATTTTTTAGGAATATCTGTGTAGTTGCAAATACATCTGTGTTCAGAGTTAATAATATCCAAGACTATTTTCTTTGGTATGTTTGTGAACAGACTAATTACATCTATAGGGACTCTATAATCTATTTTTTTGAAAGCTGTCACCTCATCGTTTATTGTAGGTGGTTCATTCACTCTTCAAAGGATTTAGGGGATTAAAATTGGTTAAGTATGATTGATTATACCAGCTTTCAAAAAAAATAGACTATAGGACATGTCCATCAGGTACTATAAGTTCTCTTATTACCGCTGCGAAATGGAAAGATTCTTTTATATTAAAGTGAAATGTTATTGTTAAAGGATTGAGTATTATGTGGAGATACTAAGCTAAGTTGTATCTCGGTGAGTTGACACAGCTAACTACAGGCCTAAGATGTAAATCAGGTTTATATGTGTTTGTCAAACAGTAAAGTTTTGGGGAAACTGAGTTGTGGCGTTTCAATTCCATTTCCTTTCTAATGCTGATTAGGTTCTGTGTTTTCAGCCCAGTAACCATTTTGTTTGCGATGGTCTGAAATTTATTTGTAGGGTCCCGGTTGGTGGATTGGTATACATCAGTATTACTCAGACTCAGCATCTCAACTACTTTTTGGTGATATTCACTTTTATCCATAAGAACAGTGGAGTTCCCTTTGTCTGATCGACTGACATATTGAGAGAGTCTTTAGGGAACTGTCTTGTTTTTTTAACTTTACCTAATAAGCCTTTGTTAGCAGTTGACAGTTGAGTCCTCTTTTCGGTAGAAATTGGTGATGATGTTGGTAGACTGGGCTCTCAGGTTGTCCTTTTCTTCATTCGAGATAGCCTGATTTCTCATACAATACTCGACATCTTTGATAATTGTGGTTATCAGTATCTCCTTCCTTGTAAATGGTAGGCCAAATTTTGGTCGCATTTGATTGACATTGATATAACATGGTGAGATATTCTAAAAATAGGGTTATTATAATTTTCAACACCCAAGCAGTCCCGCGGTTTACTGTAGCCTTGTCAGGTATATATCAGAGCTCATAAAAATTTTGATTCATCATCAGCCCTTGTTTGGCCTAAAATTAGACAGCAACAAATTAATAATAGAGACTGCTAAATCAGATTTCACTGTACAGTGTGATTTTTTAAGTGTGCAACATATGGGAATTTTTTTTTAGTAATAGCACAACCCAAATACAAACAAGGCCAAAACTTGGTGCATGTCTCATAATCATATTAGGTGCAGTTAGAATGGTTGCAAGTCAAACAGCGTACAGGGTAGCTCAAACAATATCAAAGCTGTACTGTAAAGTACCCTTATTTTAGAAAATTCAGCAAAATGTTGTAGAGAAAAGTTGTTTGGAATTAAAAGTTATGCCTAAATACCAAAACATAGCCTCCTAAGATTTTTTTTATTTTATTTCGAAAAAAAATCTATAATTTCTATATTTTTTTTATTATTTATTTCCGCCCTTAATATTTTCAAAAATTAATTAAAATCAGATCAATTTTACATAACTTTGTTCAAATTCAAGCATATTTGTAAAATTAACTTAGATTTTTATTTTTTTATGGAATCACAAAATTCATGTTTGTTGCAATGATATTCAATACAACGTTAAAATGTGGCAATTTTTTTTTAACAAGTTAAAACATTACTTATGATAATAGCCATATTAAAAAAACTCTCCTTAAAGTGCAAAAGTTTTATTTTATTTAAGTAAATATTAGTAGAATTTTGATATTTTTTGAGCCACCCTGTATGCTGTTTGACTTGCAACCATTCTAAGTGCACCTTATGTGATTATCAGACATGCACCAACTTTGTTTGTATTTTGATTGTGCTATTACTAAAAAAAAATCCCATATGTTGCACACTTAAGTAATTACACTGTATATATTTTTATCTGGAGTGGTGGGCCATTGAGAAGCTATCTTTGCAATGTTATTTATTTCCTCAAGTTAAATTGTTCATTATTTGTCAACACAATGAGGTTATTGCTCAGTTTCAAGATTATTTTTAGGTACATCATTATTGTTTGATATAGAAAGATTATCCATCACTGCATCAAAGTTCAATAATAAATTATTAAATTAAAAAAATAAAAACAGGGGGAAAGGAAGTGGAACATTATTTGCTGAATTTCTTAAAACTACTAGGAAATCTTGAGTTCGATACTGCTCAAGGGAGCCCGTTTCCGATTTGAATGAATTTTATAGTGATGCAAGGTTTCAAGTCTTATAAATTCTCATTTTTTTTTCTCTTAAAGGAACTTCATTTCAAATGGTAGTCGATATGTGGTACAATCTTGCAACTACCGACTTCGAGGAAACCTATATGCAGATTATCAAAAGATTTGAATAAATACACCAAATAGGCTATGTAACTCAACTGTCATCAATTTTAAAGTCAAATATTCAAGGCAAATGTTCTTAGATTGTCGCGAAATGTATTACATAATTTCTACGGTAAACTGTGAAGCTTGCTGTGAAGCTTCGAGCAATTTTTTTTGTAGATTAACTCATTTAGGCGCCTAACCGCAATAAACTGAACCAAATCCATCACCATTAAATGTGTTTTTCTGAGGAAGGAAGAAACAATGGCGACAATGGTTAAATGCGAAGCCATAAAGTTGGAATTCTGGATTATTAATAGCTGGTAATAATTCTAGCCCAGCCGAGCGGCGCTATCTGATTACCGACAACGGACTGTGCGCTAATGTGCTGTGTAAATAGATCTATTAGAGAATATCTCTATGACTCTACGTATAAAGCTAATGTTTTGGTTATATCGATAGCTATCGAAATTACCATAAATAGCTAAATAAATAAGAAAAGTGAACCAATACACTTAAAATAGAGTCTTTATTTATAAACTTATAAACGACAATTTCCTTTTTTATTAGGTGACACAATTTTCAATACCCAAGCAGTCTCGCTTTTCACCGTAGCTTTATCAGGAAATTGAATTTCGACTCTATCAGAGTTTATAACCCATTTGAGTTTTCCTTCATTGCCCAATAATGATACAGTAGTAACTGGATTTTTAAACAAATCTACAACAGATGCAAGTTCTACAGTGTTACTCTCGGGCCAAACTAGATTAATTGCATATACAGCTGTGTCTCGAGATGTGTACCTAGAACACACATTTTTATTCCCTGAATAGATAAACAATATTTCTACTTACCAAACATTTGAATTAAGAGAATCATTTTGAGAAGTCCATGGCTGGCTGCTATAGATAGCTTCTCCATTGATTCCTAACCAGTTACCGAGTTGAGTTAGTCTTTCTTCAAATATGGGACTGATGGTTCCTTCTTTCGTTGGTCCAACGTTAATAAGAATGTTTCCTAAAAAAGATGTATGTACATTTTGTATAATTTAAAAATTACTCTCTAAATTCTCACCTCCACAACTCACGGTTCTTGCAAGAAGTGTTAAAAGTTCTATCGGTGTCAAGTAATCGGATAATTTCGCATTTCGTCTGAATCCCCATGAAGATTTATCCAAAGTCATGGCGTTTTCCCATTTCTTCTCTTGAAGAACTCCTTTAAATCAAATAGAAAGTATACAATGATGTAAATATTTTAATAAACTGTTCATACCAGGATCGTATTTGTCTTTACAAGTATAGTAATCTCCATGATGGCAAGGTATTCCAGCGCCCCATCTGTCGTTCACAACTACTTCGTCTTTGTTGGGACTTTCATTGTATAACCTATCAAGTAGTGAATAATTCGTGTTATTATCTATCCATTATAAAGAAAGGTTGTAGTAGAAAAGTTATAAGCAGACTCACCAAGCCAAAAACTCAGTAGACTTAAAGTACGTATCATTAGCTTCCCAGTCACCATCAGACCAAATAACCGATGGCTGATATTTATTGACCAACTCTTTCATTTCTGGAATCATTTTGTTATCAACAAAGGATTGAGTTTTAAATCGATTAGCTTTATCAGCCAACCACATGGGGTTGAACCACTCAAAGAGGGAGTGGTAGAGACCATATTTGATACCAGCTTTTCTGACTGCATCACCAAGTTCCCCTATAAAACAAGACATTAGAGATATAATATGCTTTAAGATTTTCTCCAGTTCATACCAACAAGATCCCTATGTGGTCCAATATCTTTTGCATTCCAGCTGAAAGAGTACGCAGAAGGCCAATTAGTGAAGCCTTCGTGATGTTTGCTGGTCAATATAACGTATCTAATTAAAAGATAATATAAACGTGGGTTATTAATTTATGGTAGTTATGTTCTCACTTTGCTCCTGATTTTGCAAAAATATGAGCCCATTGAGTTGCATTGAAAAATTCTGCTGTAAAATCTTTCGCGAACTCTTGATAGCTAAATCCTGGAGGGAAATTGTCTTTCATGTAATTGGTTACTTCAGCGGATGCTGAAAATAAACATATAAGAAATAACATTTTTGTATTTCAAGTTTTATGAAAAACCTACACACAGCATTCAGATTTAATATAAATATATTGCAGGTATAGTAAAGTAGTAAGTATAAAACTGTATTTTTATTAGATTGGGTTCACATAATATACCTCATTATTCCGTTTCGGGCTATTTATTTGTATTGAGTGAAATTATAGTCAACAAAAAATGTTTCTTCTTTTTATTTTGTATATGACTAAAACTGAAATTGAAAATAATTTCTGTTATGGATTTTTTCAAATCACTTGCATACTAACTATAACCTCTTGCACTGATTTGAAACGTCTATTATGCCTTTTGAGGTTGATCTACTTACAAGATGATGTCCAAGCATTCCAGATCCATTCAGAATAAAAACTAGGAACAGAAAACACTCCCCAATGAATGAAAATTCCTATTTTAGCTTCGTCGAACCATGACGGAATCGGCCTAGAGTCTAAACTGTCCCAAGTCGGCTCATAATGGGCCTTTGTTCCCGTCAAAATTAGGGAACAACAAATGAATAGCACTAATTTCATCGTTGGTACTTAGCTTTATTGTCACAGCATTTACATACAAGACTTTATATATCTAGGTATTTATAAAAATATGTTATCTGAAGTGGTGATAGGTCCTTGAAGAGTATTTTGACATCATTCGTTTCTCAAATACTTATTGTTTATTGTTCTCATTTATGATAATAAGTTCGTTACTGAGGGCAAAGTTTATTTTGTAAATAATTAATTGTTTACGATTCACACTTATTTTTCCAACTATTCCAAAACCATCCATGGTTGGAAAAAGTAAATAATTATTTCTCACTTACACTTATACTGAATTTTACTTTTTCCCACCGTGGATGGTTTTGGGATAATTGGAAAAATAAGTGTGAATTGTAAACAATAAATTATTTACGATTCTTATCGAGACATTTAGAAGTGGAACCTGTATCTGAACTTTTTTAGGTGGTTTAATAATGCCCTGGTTTTTCCCAAAATTAGTGAGCGACAAATAATGAATATCCCTAATTTCAGACTTACTACTAAAATTGTAGGAACAGCATCCACAAACAGGACTTTACGTGTTTATAAAAATAATGCTATATTGAGTAATGAAAATCGATTGTTTTTATGTTTCATCTAGGTCTACTCACATTTATCTTTCCAATCACTCCAAAACCATTCTGAACTAACGCTGGGAACCGAAAATATGCCCCAATGTAGGAAAATTCCCACTTTAGCTTTATCGAACCATGTAGGAATGGGACGTTTATCTAAACTTTCCCAGCTGGGTTCGTACTTTGCACTAACCAGGGTTAAAATTATTGATGATAAGAACAAATATTGATTTTTCATATTTTATTTACACTGAATTCGAACTTATAAAGAGACAACACGTTACTGGTATGTGGTCAATGAATAGAAAACTTTATCAACAGTCGTAGTGGTCATTAGAGGGCAAAGCATGAAATATTAGTGCATACATAAGAAAATTTGAAAAAAACTATAATAGTTTCTCGATATGTATCCTGACAGTGACATAGATTATAATAATGGTTATTTTCATTATAATGAATTGCATTAGTGGCCATGACAGAGTAGTATACCTTCCGGCTGATTGAGACAGAGTTTCGTAGTAAATTCATTAAGTTCCTCCACTAAGTATAAGGTTTCATTGGTCCAGGAAAATCGCGACCAACCATGATAACTCCTGTTAGTTTAATATACCTAGGCTTGTAGTCTTAGTAAAATTGTAATTCGCTTAAAAATGATCGAAAATACACGCATGGGTCAATCTGAGTCAAAAATAAAAATCAAAGTACGGGGTGTTTTTTTATATATTGACACCCCACCTACAGCCTTCACCTTTACAGGTAGAAGAAAGGTGCGAATACAAAAGTTGTACAGTTTTGGCTGAATTTTTAGAAACCCGCCTGGAAGAGCACAATGCCCCAATTCCAAAAATATATACTTTGTCTATATTTGATTGAACAGTCTCTCATATATTCGGCTCCAAAAATTGTAAAAATACTATCCTACTATACTGATTTTGTGAACCATTCTACCTGTACAGGTGAAAGCTGCAGGTAAAATTTGAGGTACTTGGTTTCTCTGATAGTATTTTTAAAATTTTCTCAGCCAAATATGAAGGCTGTAGGTGGGGTGTCAATATATAAAAAAACACCCTGTACTTAAACAATAACTTATTATATAAAGTCAGAATTTGTAAGATTATCCAATTTTTATCAATTTGCCTTTTAACAGGAATCAGTAATGTTACTTTACCGAAGTAGTAACATAATGTGACAAGTGATTCAAGTACAAACGAGTGGATTGTTGCGGAACTTATGGATGGACCTCTCCGCAGTCATCTATTCATTAATGCGTTGTTCAAGTATGATACTAACCTGACTCACTTAAATGTCAGTTATTCTCATTAGTTCAGAAACTACAAATTTCAGGTGGGTTTCTTATTTGAATAGTTCAGCAGTATATTGGTGAGTAGATGGCTGCTGAACTCGCTGCGCCCGTCCCACAGAGGTCCACCCATAAGTTGCGCAAAAATCCACTTATTTGTACTTGAACAATAACTTATATAAAATCAAAATTTGTAAAATTATTCAGTTTTTGTCAATTTGCATTTCAACAGGAATTAGTAATGTTACTTTACCAAACTAGTAACATAATATGACAAGTTATTCAAGTACAAATGAGTGAATTGTTACAGAACTTATGGGTGGAGCTCTACGGGACGAGCGCAGCGAGTTCCGCAGCCATCTTTATTCATCACTGTGTTGTTTAATTACGATACTAACCTGACTCACTCAAATGTGAGTTATTCTCATAGTTTAAAAACTATACGTTTCAGGTGAATGTCTTACTTGAACAGTTCAACAGTATATTGGTAAGTAGATGGCTGCGGAACTCGCTGCGCTCGTTCCGCACTAATTTGTACTCATTATATAAAGTCAGAGTTTGTAAGATTATCCACTTTTTGTCAATTCGCCTTTCAACAGGAATTAGTAATGTTACTTTACCAAACTAGTAATATATTGTGACAAATTATTCAAGTACAAAGGAGTGGATTGTTGCGGAACTTATGGATGGACCCAGCCATCTATTCACCAGTATGTTGTTCAAGTACGATACTAACCTGACTCACTCAAATATGAGTTATTCTCATTAGTTTAAAAAGTATAGGTACACGTTTCAGTTGAGTGTCTTATTTGAACAGTTCAACAGTATAATTGTGAGTAGATGGAAGTTAACCCATATAAGTTTCGCAATAATCCACTTATTTGTACAGGGTGTTTTTTCATAAATTGACACCTCACCTACAGCCTTTACCTTTACAGGTAGAAGACAGGTGTAAATACAGAAGTTTTACAGTTGGTATCATGATATAAGTGCTTTTTGCGAAGAAATTCCAGCATCAGAGCATTTGGAATGCTTCTCCGGCTCTTTTACAAATACATCCTCGAAAAAGTGGCTAGAAATCTATTCGAGTTACGCTTCGTTACGTTATAAAAGTTTAGCATTGTAATCGACAGTATTTTATATTGCTGCCTTCTATTTTTAATAGAAGTGATCCAGGCCCAGATCACGCGGAATTTGCATTAAAATTGGAGAGCATGTTACCCGTGGTTTTTCTACCGATAGGCTTGTCCTTTATCCGGGAATTTTTTATTCGTTTAATTGCTTATCGAGAAATTTCTCTGTCAGAGAATCATTGTCCGGTTGGAGAATTGTTAGTCAATGAACTGTTGTGAAGAAATCCTCCGTCGGCGAATTGTTGTCGATGAATTTGAGGCAGAAAATACATACCTAACATTGAAAGACCAATTACAATTTCTAGAGATTCTCTGCCGAAATAACACCTTGACGAATATTCAAATTGAAAAGGATAATATCTCTTCTGGAAAGACCGACTTGTTAGTATTGACGTACAGAAATCTATACACAAACATCTCAATAATTATAGAAGCCATTGAAGAAGCAATATACTACAAGACAGAACTTTAATACTAGTTGACGGATATTGAAGAAAAAAGAAAAAACCTAAACAGAGCGATTACCTATGAGTTCACACCTTCACTTGTCATTGCCTACATCTATATACATGAATGAATCTGAAATGAAAGCAAGCCAAATCGCCCAGCTTGAGCCAAGGCTATGGTTGATAGGTATATGATGAGAATACGTTCATCATATGCAGATGGAATCATGATGAACGACATTTAAAGCATTTTCTCAACCCTCGAGGCAATAAGGCAAGAAAAAAATGTACAATGAAATCAGTAGATAATCTTCCAATTCTGGACGTAGTGAGAAACATAACTTATAAGTACTGGTCAATATAGGTACCTAATTAGGTTTAGTATACATATAGGCTCCTAGTCATAACAAAAATTGTCACTCAACATAAGTACCTACGAAAGAGCTAAATTCTTTCTCTTTTTGTACGACTATCCCGTACCTACTTTCAGCTTTTGTTTTAATGGAGTTTTCTTTAACGGGTTAAAGTTGAATGAATTAACCTCTTCATTAGAATTAGGATTAAGTAGACTCTTGCAAATTTTAGACATATTATTATATTTGAAAGTTTAAAGACTTTTAAACCTAAACCAAGCGAAACTCAACAAATTAAATTACTTACGATCATCTTTCCAATCCCACCAGAACCATTCCGACCTGACACTAGGTACAGAAAATACACCCCAATGCAAGAAAATTCCAATTTTAGCCTTATCAAACCACGTAGGTAAAGGCCTTGTGTCTAAACTTTTCCAATTTGGTTCGTACTTAGCGAAAATTACATTATTTGTTAGTGTTAAAGTTAAAAGCAACAAAGAGTTTACGTGTAGCCTCATATTATCACTAAATTTTACCGCAGATAGTTTTCGATTTCAACCGCCACTGTAAACTAACTTTATTCGGACAGATATGACTTGTAAACCTATTAAACTACCAACAAAACCGTTTATCTTCGATTAAATTTGTTTATTTGTTGGCTACGAGGTTTATTCAAAATGAAGTTGTAACTGAAATGGCAAATACACCCTAAGCTACTCATATAAGTACTTATCAAAGTTTGAGTAAACGGCGTGATTAATGACCTTTTCCCATTATCAATCATTTTGAGTCTACAGCCTAGCGTCAACAAGTAGTTTAGTTTTGGATCGACTGATTGGATCTTAAAAATAAGTTCTAAGAAATAAATAAAATAGTAAACCTATTATACATTCATTTGATTCATTCACAAGTTATAATTAATAATATCACAACAATCACAAATTTTCTAATTTAAAAATATAATAGTCTCATGAATTCCTAATTAAAATAATCTTAATACACAATAATTTTTTTTTGATATCACATTGAATGTCTAAAATGAACATAGGTATAAATTTTTTTCATCCTGTTCGAAAATCCTTTTTCATCATCATATAGCAACAAGATAATAAAATAAAAACGACAAGCAACGTATATTCGAAGGTTAAGGTCCAAAAGGCCACCAAATAAGTCGTTCTGTTACAGTACAAAGGGTTCTTTGAGTCGTAGCTCGGTTGATATTCTTTGTAAACCACATAAGATCCTAATAGAAAAATAGATTGTCTATATAAATTTCCGGAAATAAATTTTTGCTTACCAAGTCCATGCCAAAATAGATTGACTACAACTAAAACAACTGTGAGCCAGAGGCAAAATGTATTTCTGCATTTGCTTAGAACTTTGGTTAAGGCACCTAGAAAACCTAAAAACAACAAATTGATTAAACTTTGAAAGCATATTTTCGGTTTTTACCTGCTAATATTAAATAAACAGGAATCAGTCTGTTTAATGGACATTTATTTATATTTATCCATCCTATGGTGAATACTGAGAAAAATAGAGCATAGAGAAAGACAACTGAGCCATTAATTGCCACTAAAAAATAACAATAATTCACAAAACTCATATCAGTATTAGCCGCAAAACTTCAGGAAAACTTACAAGGTGCCTTTTCTTTAAGTTTTTCCTCGAAAAAGTGATTGTTGTTGTCCAGCTTTGGCGTGTTTGGCTCAATTTCCTGCTGCTGTTGCCTTTCGACATCGTCGGACGTTGTTGTTGGCGAACTTCCCGGAGTTGCACTTTTTATCGGGACTTCCAAGTTTTCGGTCATTTCGTTTGGTGTTTTTGTTGTCTCAAACACAATCGACTGTCCACCGAGAAGCAAACACTATTTATAAAATTTATTCGGGACCTGAGGCCAAGCTATAGCGATGGAACGATATTTTTAGATTGATTTGGTAGGGATTATCTATGGTTGACAACGCTAAAAGGTTTCTTGCTTAGGAATGCATTTTTTTTTTGTAAAATGAATAATTGGATTTTTACAGTTAATAGTTGGATGTCCAATGTCTAAAGTAAACCGAACAGATTTTTTGGCGAACTTTTGCATCTTATGCTGCTTCAAATATAAGATGATTTTTCATAAGTATTGTAAAAATTCTAAGATGTGACAACCTGTCCTGTCCAGACAAAGAATTCTGAGGGAGTTCATGCCTTAAGAATTCATTGTGATACACTTAGGCCGGGGTTATCCAATTCCTTAATTCTTAATTTTCGTTCTTAATTCTTAATCCTTAAAAACCCCAATGTTAAATAAATTGAACTTTTTAAGAATTAAGAATTAAGGACAAATATTAAGAATTAAGGAATTGGGTAACTCGGGCCTTACAAAACCCATTCTTAAAATGTATTTTTTGAGACGATAAGATGTTTTTAAGAATGTCCGGCATTCTTTCTGGGCCGGGTAAGGATGTTTGAATTATGATACTTAGAGCATATTCTGTTAAACGAGCCGTAACGGGATATGAGGCCAACCAACCCCAAATCCCCAACTTGGCCCGCATATATGGATTCCCCAGGGACAGACCGCACAGAGTAGCGTACCGTCCTTTTCTGTCCGTTCGAACCCGGTTATTCTGTTTGGCTTTGTGACATATAAAAACATATACAAAATTTAATGGAAGGTTGTCCGAAGAGACAAGTTTGCAATTTAACATAATAGATATCCCTAATAGCCGTTTGCACCGACAATTTTAAGGGAGGTTTAACGATAATCAACGTTTAAAGTGACATTGTACACGTAAAAAAGTCACTTTAAACGTTGATTATCGTTAAACCTGCCTTAAAATTGTCGGTGCAAACGGCCATTAATCAATTAAATGTTCGTTTAAATGTCTAAATTCCATTAATAAATCAATAAAAAGTTTGACGAGATTTTCATAAAACTGACCTACGCTGCTTTACAATATTTCTCAAAATGAAAAGATTCAGATAAATTATTCGCTTTTCTCAGTTTCTCTTTAAATCTGATTCTCAAAACATTATGAAATGACACAAGATTTTTCATTTTAAAATATTCTTGGATTAGCAATTTTAATTCTGGTATCTGGCCTTTATTAGGCGAGTTCGGTCAATCCTCCGCGAGCTAAAAGATGACATTGTTGACAAAAGCTCACGTGATATTTCATTTGAAGTTACAAAACTGGTCACATGTGATCATAGGCGCAACTAGGCACCAAATCTGAGGGGTGCTATAGCACTTTTGGTGGGGTTTGATGAAAAGTAATGACGCGCGTAAAAAAAAACATTGTTTCACGAGGGTTTGTTCTTACGTCATCATTTGCATTCCTTTTTTAACATATAAGTTTTTTTATGTCTGAAATTTCAAACAAACATATAGTTCCTTGCACGAAGTTTGTACTTACGTCAGCGATGACGTCATAACTTCGAAAACAGGGTTTAGTTTATCGTAGATTAATTAGGTACTAGCTGACGTCACACACATTGAAAGTGACTTTACGTCATGTGACGCTTTGTTTATTCCCCAACATAAATGAGGTTATGTGTGTGACGTCAGCTAGTGCCTAATTTTTTTGACAAATTTAATGAATGGCTTGTGGGCCCGTATTCTTTTAACTGGGAAACAGCGTTCTCAAAAAAACGATTTCTCTGTCTTAGTCGTTCATATTGTTATTTCCATAATACTGACAAAGACAGGGCAATTCTGTTCCTCGGCTACGAGAATACAAGCCCTGATTTTGAGAACCGACGAATGTTTACGACGTCATTAATTTATTTCAGTCATTTATTGTTTGTTTAAAAAAAAGGAAAAATGATGACGTAAGTACAAACCCCCGTAAAACAAACTTTTGGTCCGCAACCGCTCCCTTACCGATCTACAGGGAGTTTAAATTTCAATATGTTTTTAGTTTTTTCTTTATAGCTTCTGCAATTTTTGAGCGAGGGAATAACAACTGGACCAAAATTTGTACATGTATTGCGCATTACATGCTTTTTTGAATAATTCCGGTAATTTCAATGTAATACCATCGTAATTTCATGTAATGCCATTATGGTAATGTATACCCGAGTGTATACCTTTATTAGGTTACATGCAATAGTTTTACTTTGAATTTTACGTTACTGGACCAGAAAAATAAACCATTATAATATGTAGTTGAAAAAAAAAAACATCACATCCTATAGTTTGTACATTTATCATTATTCTATAGGTAGGTACTTTCGTACTTATTTTTCTGAGGCGCGGTTTATTCATCTTCATATAAACTTGCTGGTAACTCTACAAGATAAATTTATCGTTCGATAATTCTATTGGTTAATGGATAACTGGCCGACCAATGAGATGTCAGATTGCATACTGTTATTATGTATACTGAAAATATTGAATACATTATTATTATACCTGACAATTTATCAGAAGGCGAATAAACCGGCCCTAAATCTGAATAAAATGCCAATTTATCCCGTAGGTACTTAATTTATTTTACAAAAACCGTATTAACCTCGGTTTTAACTTCCGAATTCATACTGTTAAACATTGTCTACATATTCGCAGAGTTTTTCAATGGTTAGAATTTTATTAGTTTATTAATCATTATAGGTTAATATTTTATTTCTGGATTTATCCTAGCTCAACAGTTGAAATGGTTCTGATCTAATGATTGTTATTGATTCATAAAAAATGTAGGCCTTATCCTATAGATTGTACGTCATTGTTGTAAGGCCTTACGAAATTTTCTAGATCATTTTTCAAAAATTTAATTATGTAGGTAGTCATTATTGGACATTTCAATTCATTACATGTATAGCAAAGTTGTAAGGTTAACAAGAATCTATAAAATATAAATAACTTTACATACACAGGGTAAGCCAGAAAAAAGTTGCAGTAGAATATTTAGGTATTTGTTTGAAATGGGATACCCTATACATATATTGGTTCATACGAATAAAACGGGAGCAAATGCTTCCACTCAAGTTTTTTGAGATAAACATATTCAGCTTTAATGCAGCAAAAAGAGATGCTGTAGAGTAAAATCATTTTGCTATACCTGTATTCATATGACTGATTATGTTATTTTTGGATGGACACACAAAAAAAATCCTATCATAATATTTCAATAGCTTTTTTGATAATGGTGGTACCTATGGAGGTCTTGCTGATGGTACTATGGATACCAACCAAATTTGGTACCACCGTTTTAACAACCTTTGAGTAGCTGTCAAGTATTCAAGTGAGGACAGGAAAGTGAAACTCGTTTTCTCCTATTTTCAGTTGTTTTTTCTGTGCAAATCGCTAAGAATATACAAATTTTCTGACTATTTTCTACCAATGAAATTCGCTCTGACTGGTTTGTGGTTTCTGTGTGAACAGACTTAAAATATATAGGATATCCCATTTAAAACAAATACATATTTTACTGTAACTTTGTTTTGCTTCACCCTGTATATTTGAAATTATTTTAATTTTTTAGATACTCAAACTTTCCCAAAGATATTTTTAATATTGGGGTTGGTGTTGGTAATATGAATATGATCTCTCCGTAAATGTTTGGAAAATTCGAGGGCTAAAAAT